ACCATATTTCGAAGCACCATCACTGTGGACTGCAGAGTAGAAGGACAGGATTAAAGTAAACACAAGTGATGATAAGGAAGTAAATAAGTGTTTCTAGATTAAAAAAAATAAAATCACCTCTGATTTTCGAAGCAGTTTCTGCATCACCATGTGTCTCGCACTGCTGCCCGAGATGCTCATGTGCTCCTGATCACTCAGCATCTCCTGCCCTGTACCATCCTGAAGCGTCTCTTCTTTCTCCTCTTTCTTCTCTTGTTGGTTGGAGCCACCAGCCTGATTAGACAGCACTGGCGGTGACGCGAGCACAGGGTTCACAAGACCGACCTGGGGAACCATTGGTATGGTAGGACGCACTGGAGTCACACCTTTTCAGGGAAGGCAGACACAGTCAGTGACAATGGGCAAGTCCACAGTACAACTATTAGTCCTGGATAAGACAATCCCATCATCTAAATCATCAACTCAACGTCAAAAATATCAACCAGAAAAACTCCAAAACAAAAAATTACAAACAGTACCAAGTCACCAGGGTAGAGGTGCCAGACTAATTGATTTTGACTAATGAAAATGTGGTTCATTCATTGAAATTTCTACCACAAAATTAGTGCTGTCGGCGTTAATCTCGTTAAAATGACGTTAACGCCATAAATTTCAGTTAGCGAGTTAGGGCGGATCACCCCGTGCGTGGGGCTGGACCATTTCTTTAGCACAAAAAGAGGACTTGCTCATGTCTTGGTGCATACCTGTGATGACCCCTGGTGCCTGGGCAGCCATAACAGCCTGAGGTATTCCCATTTGCTGACTGAGAAGTTGAGGTGCAGTTAACGCTCCTAAGACTGACGCGCCAGCTACAGCCTCCTTAAAAGAGGGGGGGCCGAAGACATTAGGCAAAGGAAACACACAGAACACAACACAAGGCAGCACAGTCAACAATCACACAACATGGCAAACAATCAACTCAACATTGCCTCTCTTCAATGAGAATCGAGGTTACAAAGTAATTAAGTATTCTTAGCAAGTCAAAAATATCTAAGCAGTGATGCTAAACTTTTAAAATTATGACATTATACAAGGAAGAGCTTTGCTAATAAGTAAAGGTGAGGAACTTTCACCACTCAGGTTAACATATATACAGCATATAAAAACAAATGAGTCTTTCACCGTGTTTATAGGTTCTGTTTGAGTTTTGAAGACGTCAAACTGCATTAAAATAAGGTTACATTTTTAATTTTTAATAATACCAATAATAAACTGACAACAAAGTGGCCTTCTCTAAGTATAAATGCTAATGTTATCTGTACTGGTGTCATAGCTAGCTAGTTCTGTGTCATATTTACCTGGAAGGCCATTAAATCCCTTTGGAAGGGATTCATACTTGCCTGGGCTGTTATTTTAGCAGTGGCTGCCGCTGCAGCCACAGCTGCAGCAGGTGGCAAACCACCTGGGGTCGTGGGGGTCAGTAAGGGCATGGGAGGCGTTACTGCTTTGCCCACCCGCAGGTACTGACCACCCAGGTCAAACAGGTTCATAGAAGACACGGCGTCCAGGGCTGACTGAGGCTTTTCATACTCTGTAAAGGAAATAAAAACCGCAGTTAGTAGCAGATTTATAGCAACACGAAGGTACGAGAGAATGCGACACCCCCCCAAGCTCACCAATGAAGCCAAAGCCTCTGTGTCGCCCTGTGGTGGGGTCTCTGGCTAACGTGCATGACTTGATCCTTCCAAAGGCCTCAAACACACTCTTTATGTCGTCATCTGACAGATCAGGGTGGACGGACGCCACGTAGATCCTGTTATAAGCACGCGCCTCTTCTGCCAGCTGGTCGATGATGGGTTGCGCCTGACCGATGTTACTTGGCCGCCCAACCTATAGCACAGATCAAACCACCAGGGCTACTGAGTAAAGCCTTTACTACATTACCTGAGAACGCACCTACCACAAGGCTCTATGTCCCTGCAAGGCTTACTTTCACCAGCCACCAAGCTCAGTCAAAGCCACTCGTCTCCTCTAATAAGTGTTTTTTAAATTACAAAACACTATAGCATTTTCCCAACAGGAGAAAATTTCAAGGATAAAATACTGATTACATTAATCATTAGACAAAAGAATAACCAAATAAAACTTAATTCTCTCTCTCTCTCTCTTTCTTTCTTTAAAAGCCAGATATTACAAAAAGACATCTACTAGCTGAGGATCAATAATTAAAAAGAACCTGACTATAAGGGTGTCAAATATCAACTCATTTACAATGCAAATGCAAAACCGGTCCTGTAAATAGCTGTAATACTATTATAGAGAAACTACACTTTGTATTAAAAACACAACATTTCTGCAGTCTGAGCTAGTGGCTAAAGGAACGCATTGAATATTTGGTGCTAGCGCTGCACATCCTCTCCTTTGCAAAAGAACTGAGCTCCCCGAGTAAGACGAGCGTCTGAGGGAGACTAGGATCTGTACTACAGATGGGGCGGCCAAGTAACACCAACCAGACGCAACCCATCATCAGCAGTCCATGGGCACAGAGCGATGTTATTTGCTGCTAGGCATCCCACTGGTCACTTGGTCACTAACACAAGCCTTGATGGCATCATGGAAGGCCAACACACACTTACGCACTGACACACACAAAAAACAAACAAACAAAAAAAAAAACTACACACGCATCTTCAATCATACAACACGCACCTGAAAATTAACAAAAACACAAGCACAATCACAAATTAGTGTTTTCACTTAAATAAAGTGACTGAGATTATACATTTAAGCAATTTTGCATATCAGGACTTCATATTCCTAATGGCAGGAAGTAATCTAAATACCAGTAGGGTTCCCACCAGTGTATTACCCGACCGGCGGGCCATCAGTCCTAAAAACAGCTTGGGAAAAAACTATGAAGTTATGAAAGAATAAAAAAATAAAATAAACACATGGAAATGTTGAGTCTCGATACACTTTTACCTGTTCACTTATAACTAGGGTTGCAACAATACAATCAGACATTGGTCCATTCCAGACCTGTTCTTCATGAAGGAAGCTAACAGTAAAGCCAAACACCCTTCTTTCCCTGCAAGTTTTTTTTTGCTTAACTGCAATATATATATGCATTAAAATAAAATAAAAAAAGTCTGGATATGGATAACCATGTGTATCGATAAGAGGAGCAGTATTTCTTGTCTTGCTTTCTGAATGTTTTAAAATATTCATAAAGATACTGCTGTATAGCTACTGGATCTTAACAGCTTTTATGACAGAAATCCTGCCCAGGTATATCCAACTATTCAAACTCTGTCCACATGAACTTAAGCACTTAAAAGATGTTTTTCTCCACACCAACATACCTTAATGTTTCGTCCTCCCAGCATGACTGAGTTCATCTGCTCCAGGGCCAGCTGAGCAGCCTCTGGTACATCATACTCCACAAAGGCAAATCCCTGCATTGTCAGACAAAGGTCAAGAATAACCTGCACACACTTTCTTTGCAATCTACGCCACGTCTCAAGTCAAAGTCAAACACTGACCTTGTGTTTCATTGTAACCGAATCCCAAGACATGTCAATGCTCTTGATTGGACCAAACGGGGCAAAAGCCTGTCTGATGGTGTCCTCACCAAGCTCATAGTATATGGAGCCCACATACACCCGACACATGATCGCTAGAGCGCGCTGCCTCTGAGCTGCCACCTACCAACCAAGGGAAACAAGACATAATAAGCATTAGAGAGTAAAAGAAAGGAGGAGAAACAAACACACATACACACACACAGAAAGAATATATGTGTATTTTCTACTGTGCTTGCTTTCCCCAAAATTGTTAGAGGCCAATTCCAAGTAAAGGGGGGTCTGGACAGGTAAATAGGGTAATAATGGGATACTGCAATGGACAGAACTTTGTGGGAAAAATATTAACATTTATAAAAAGAAAACAAAAACAAAAAAAACACTGATGTCATCAGAGGCGATTACAGTATGTCCTCTATTCTGTTACTACTGAACAGACATATGGAGGAAAACACATTGATGTGATTGACATGCACAGCCCTCACAAAAATTTTGGCTTCAGTAACTGACCTGTAGTCCGGGGATGCAAGTAAGGTAACAAAAGTAATCGTGGAGTTCAAACGAAATCCATACAAAGTCTTGATGAAAGCATTTGAAACTTTCTTCTCAAGTCTAAGGTGAGGGGCGCTTTAATCCCCGAAAGCTGCTCTGTTTTACTGACGCCTTTACTGCTTCTCTTAACTTTCACTGTGTCACCAACAAAAATAAGTTCGTAAAGTATAACATCGAGGGAAGATGACTTGTTCATTTAACAGAAAAAAAAAAAAGAGCTTGACTTTGAGATGGCCAAAAAATAGCCCTGTCCCACAATTTCTCTCATTTTGGTCCATTAAAGGGATTGCTATCCCTCTTTTGTCCCATGCCAAGAGCTTTGCTTTTTTTTGTTTTGTAAAATAAGCAAATGCATATTTTTCAAAAAGACGTGACTTTTCTCACATTTACAAACCTCCAATAAAGTCCTATAAAAACCATTTAAAGTGTTTTAAACAGCCTTTTTTCTATCTTCTTCTTTAAAAAAAATAAAAAAATAAAAATACACAAACAAAATATCCCACTGCAACGCAAGAAAGCAAAGGAAGCGCTTCGACAATTAACAACAGCCAGTCATCTCAGAAGAGATTGCAGTAAAGTCGCAGGTACGTTAGGTGTAGAAAGCCAAGTTTTCTTATAAAATATGCATTCTTTGGTTAGGAAAAAAGGCAGGGACTGTTGCTATTGCAACAGTAAAAGAAGGGTAACAGTCCTTTCCATTGGGAATGCGCACAGAAAAAAAAAATTTAATAATCTATTGACCGATTGTAAAGGTGAGAGAGGATCTCCAAAGCCCATTGTCACTGCTGCCATCTGAAAGACAGTAAAGATGAAAAAAGTGCTGAAAAGTAGGTTAGATATCCCTTAGCTTTGCTTTTCTTTCTTTCTTTTTTTAAAAGGTCATTGCTTTGCTAAATAGACAAAAGCAGTAAGGCTTACACTATAATCAGACCCTCCCTCTAAACAATATACAGAGAGGATTTACCTCCTTTAGCTAAATTATAGCTCACCACACAGCAATAAACAAATACAAGCAAGTTCCCTTTAAAAGTGCAAAGCATTTAACATGATAACCAAAGCCTTCATGATGATCGTCTCCATCTGAAAGAGAACAAAAGGCAAAAGCAAAGGGCAAAAGGTCTACACATGCGTTCTTTTTCAAAGCACGTGGTAGAAGAAAGGCAAAACTTCCCAAAGAGCTAAGCCCAAACCGACTTGTGACAGTAGAGATGGCTGAATTACCAGTGCGAGAAAAGACTATGATATTCTGTCTACAGTCAAGACTCACAGGTGACACATGCACAACAAAGATTTTGTTTGGCACATTACCAGATAGTTTCACACATCTCACCTGGAGGTTGGTGAGCTGTTGCTGCTGGTGGGCGATGGTCTGCTTCACCAACACACTCTTAATACTTTGCTCCATGGCATACTTCTTAGCCTGGGAAAGGAGAAGCGAAATTACATGTAAATTCCACAGATGAATAAAAGATCAGTTCATCTATGTGACACGGCATGCAAAAACTAAGCTAAAATCCAAACTTTCATTTAATCCTACATTTTTAAAAAGTATAATAAGAGGAAAAAACAAAAAACCCCAAAACAAAACAGGATTTCCCATATAATAAACGAATTATTTGCAGTTTATGCATTAGAAACAGTTGAATAACTGCAGGTTTTGGGAGATATTTGCAGATGGTGCAGTTAAGATAAATACTTGAAATGCTGGAAAGTCTGGTTGTTCTTGATGTTTCATTGTTCA